CATCTTGATCCTCATTGTTGGGCAGTGTAGGGTTTTAAGGTTCAGAGGCTTCTAGTTATTCAAGGTGCTCTGTTAAGCTTGCTGGCTCTACCTCAAATTGAGATCTCTCANATATGGACAAAATAGGTTGTGTTATTGAACGTTTTATTGGGATTGTGCATGTTAAGAATACTTCTGCAAAGTCTTTGAAAATTGCAATAGATGCCTTTTTTGTAAAGTATAGATTGAGTTTGACAAGTTTGCGGGGGCAAGGTTACGATGGAGCAAGCAATATGAGGGGTGAGTTCAATGGTTTGAAGACTTTGATATTGAGAGGAAATAAATTTGCTTTCTACATTCATTGTTTCTCTCATCAACTCCAATTGGCGCTAGTCAAAGTTGCAAGTAAACATTCAGCATTGGGTGAATTTTTTCAAACTCTTTCTATGTTATCAAACACTGTAGCAGCATCTTGCAAGCACAGAGATCTTCTACGTGATAAACAACATGAATATGTGATATCTTTGATTTCTAATGGTGATATTCTGATGGGACGCGGTTTGAATCAAGAATGCACTATTAAAAAACCAGGAGATACACGTTGGGGTTCACACATAGGGACAATTCATAGTGTCATAAACTTATTTTCTTCTGTTGTTGGTGTGCTTAGGGTGATTGAGATTGAAGGAGATTATTGGCAAAACAAAAGTCAAGCAAGGAGTTTATTACGAATCATGGAGAATTTTGAATTCGTCTTTTTGTTATTCTTGATGAAGAAAGTATTGGGAATCACATATGAACTGTCATAAGCATTACAAAAAAAAGATCAAGATCTTTTTAATGCGATGCAGTTTGTACAAATTTCGAAGTGTCGATTACATAAATTGAGAAATGAAGACACTTGCTTCGACATATTATTGAAAGAAGCTTATGATATGTGTAAAGATAATGACATACCAATCCCGGAGAACATGGAAGATAATTTTGGGAGGACAAAACGAGGGATTGCGCTAATTACGAATAAACATTATTTTAAGGTGGAATTGATGTACACAGTTTTAGATAACATTCAAGAAGAACTCAGTAATCGTCTTGATGAAGTAAATATGAGGCTGCTTCAATGTATGGCATCTCTTGATCCAAGTAACTCTTTTGCTGCATTTAACAAAGACAGATTACTTGGGTTTGCAAAGTTCTATCTTGTCGATTTTCCTCAACACGATATTTGGTTGCTCAATAATCAACTTGAAAACTATTATGAGCATTTTAGCACCAACGCCAATTTCACTCATGTTTATGGGATTGTTGATCTTGCAAAAAAAATGGTTGAGTTTAAGAAGGATGTTGCTTACGACAAAGTTTTTTTGCTTATTAAATAAGCACTGGTTTTGCCCGTGGCTACTGCAACAGTTGAAAGGGTGTTCTCTGAAATGAATCTTGTTAAGAATACTTTGCGTAATCGAATGGGAGATGAGTGGATGAACAGTTGCTTAGTAGTTTACATTGAAAAGGAAGTTTTTGCTACAATTCAAAATGAAGATATCATTGAATATTTTCAGAACATAATGAAGCGGAAAATCGTGTTAAATTGAAGATCTTCAGGTATACTATTCTAACTTGCTTTTATTTTTAAATAATCAATATTCATATTATTTAGATCTTTAGGTATACCATTCTAACTTGATTTTTGGGTCAATACGCAGAGGATGTGTGGATCTTTAATCTAGACGGTTGAGTTAGAATGTTAACGTCTGGATCTGGATTTGGAGTTATTGTAATCCATCTCTTTGTAAACCTTTGTGTATTTTAGTTTTATTAGAGTTGTGATTGAGCTCTAAATTTGTGTAGAATATTTTTGGTGGATTTGTGGTTGTTGTAAACTCTTTTGATTATATTGGATTTAAGTGGATCGTTAGATTCCCGTGGTTTTTTTTATCTCTTCACATTGAAGAAGTTTTTCCACATAAAAATTTTCTTGTGTTTCCTTATGAATTGGATGTTATTTTCTTATGTTTCACTAGTTGATTTGGCAAATAGTGGCGGAGCGATGGGGCCCCCCAGGCAAAAATCCTGGGTCCGCCACTGGCCGCAAGTGATTCTTAGCTGTAGCTAGATGTTTCCAAAATTGAACCACTTCAAAAACTGAAAAATACAAAACTATGAAAAGAAGACATGTTTCATACACAATCTTATCAATTCGGTTTAAGGTTACATATAAAATTATAGAGATATGCTACATGATTAGCTCTTCTGTGTTCAGGATATTATTAAATTACATGTACATTTGCAATAACAGAATTAAGTCATCATTTACTCATTAGTCTCCAATTTGCTGCATAATAACCAGTTATTCAGAAAAAAATTCAGAATTACATTGGATGATTTTGCTCCTGTGTTATCAGAAGAAATCTAACCATTGCAATTGAAAACTATCAGAAATGGTAAAATCTCAACACAACTTGCTGTTGCTTAGTTGGTTGGTTACTCCTATATGCAAAAATTGGTTGAATGACAAAATGAAATGCAAGTGTGCTTGCATAGATCAATTCTCCTAAAAGAATTATTTACTCTGTGTCCCAACAATAAGCTGAAAAGACTAATAAAGGTCAAGAGCACAGTGTTGCACAAAAAGTTTGGCATTTTGTCCCTGACTTGCTTGGAGTAAGAGGTTTCTTGAACTGCATCACATCGATGTCTCTATAACTTCCATGAGTCGGTTTGTCGCCTTATGCAGGAGCAGATCATCAAGAACTATCTGTGAATAATTTCAACCTCTACAGTACCATACATTGATGTTGGACAATGTTATATTAAAAACATTTCCATTTGAAATATTCAATCTTATAAGCAGAAGATAACAATAAAAATTATTGTAATGTTCAGGCTTTTAAGAATTCACATTTTCTATTTACTTTGACAAGTTCAAATATGGATAAATTTTGTTACAATCTCAAGAAAATAATTTTCTATTAAGCCACTGTTGTTACAAGTATTATCAATAATGATCTTTTGCCTGCAACTTGTAGTTGATGTGGTATCAGATTAGGTACTCGACTTTGAAATATACTCCATTATTTGGTAGTAAAAAATCTGATACTTAAATTTTCCTTTTTTACAGAAACCTTACTTGATGAAATCTTTTTCAAGAGTCTCCTTCACAGATCATGCAGGAAATTTACTTTCCTTTCTTTTAGGTTAAGGTCATTGTTTAACTCAGTCACATTAATTTATTTTACAAATATATTTGCAATTGAAATTTCGCAAGCACATCATAATGAATACACATGATAGGAACATTTCAGTAAACAATTTTTCGGTTTGTTCTAATGACTTAATCATCAACGGCTTGTTGGAAGTCACATTATATTTATGCTGGTGTCCCTTTCACCTTCATGAGTCATTTTCTGGGGTTTTTCTTCGTACAAAATTGTCCACTACGCTTTGTGGAATTGAATGAGTCCTTTGCAATTGAGGTAGCTGGAAAGAAAATGAGCAAGGATGCTGAATCAAAAGATTGCATGTTATTGATGAACTTGAATCTCGATACTGAATTTTCTCCCATACTAAGGTAGTACTTTCACAAAAGATATCCCATTTCATTATGCGTAATTGTATGTTCTTATATTTTCCAGGTGTTGGACCAACCTTCTCATGTACTTGGAAGAAAAATAAAGAAATAAAGCAGCCATTTTCTATTTTGTGTAACATAGATTAGCATAAGAAAAAAGAGCTGCTGCAGTTTTTGAAGCAGAACAGAGAAGAATGCTGCATTATTTGGTTTTTGACATTTAACTGTTTAACTGATCACCAACACTAGTTAGCCTGGAAATGCAGACAAGGGTCATTTTCGTGACTGCAAATAACATACATATTCACAAGCAGGGCTGCATATATGAATACGTACTTAAACTCTGAGCACATGAAACAAATAACTATTGATATGTGTTTTTCTTCTCCAAATATCTGTACCTCCTACCGAGGGGAAGAAAAAAGTTCTAACCTCTAATGAAGCAAGAAGTTGTTTCCAAACAATGGTATCACTAGTTTTTTATGACATGACATGACTGTTACACCGATCGTCACAGTCTAAAAATTAAACCTAAATACCGTAGCAGCGGCAAGCAGGATCGAATCCACAGGGAGCAAGACTAACAACCTAATGTATTTTAAGTAGCGGAAATGAAATTGGCAATGGATTAATGAAACTAAGTCAAATAATGAAATAGTGCAATTAAAACTAATAAAAACTTTATAATAAAAATGTTGCCATTACGGTTTTGGTTCGACACGAGACCGACTCATACAATTCTCCTCCACCCTCTACGATCCCCTAAACCTACAAGGCAAGGTAAATCAATGAAATGGTTTCCTGACACTCTAGGTATAATCTATCCTGTCTCACCCGATCACTCAAGTTCGATTGGTTAAAGACTATCATTGAACGTCGATAAACGCTACAAGGCAATACCACTAGTTGGTACGCGATTAACAAATACAATNTTGGAAATTCCATCTATATCCTTTGATTCTTTACAAATACACCCCCATCCAAACACAATCTCTACTAAATTTCCTTACATTTTACTCCTCACTTTTCCTACTAATTAGGGGTAGAATGGTCATTGTGCCCCAAAAGAAGAATTCTCTAGAAAACTCAAGAAACTTTGTATTAGGCTCGTCGCCGCGGCGAAGAACTTTTCGTCGCCCCAGCGAAACAGGGCAGAACCTACCCGTGGGTGCAGCTCCTCCTCGCCGCGGCGAAGCTTCTTCTTCTCCCCGGCGAAGATTGGATTTCCAACTTCACCAAAACCCAACCAATTTCAAGGCAACAAATCAACCAAATCAACATACATGATAACAAACAAACTCAATTGAAGCTGAAACAATAAACTTTTAACTAACACAGCAAATCTTAAATACGTACCTCAAGTGGGATATTACAGTTTAGCTCTCTTTCTTTTCTTTGTTAAACTCCAGTGCATAAACAACAACAATTTCTTATCATCTTCTGTTGATTCTAGTGTGGATGGAAATTCAAATCCTTGTCCTCCGGTTTCATGCAAAGAGCAAAAGAAGTTTAACATTGTGCCTGTGGTGGCATCAGTTGTTTCTGTTTTGGTAGTTTTAGCTGCAATATTGGCAATTTTGTGGATCCACAGAAGGAGAAAAGGTACCAACAGTAACAATTCCTTAACATACCAAAAGAAAATATATATATATATTATAATTGAGAATTGATGCTAACTAAGAATTTTTTTCAGTGGGGAAGAAGGGGTCATTGGAGTTAAAAAAAAGAAGGTTCACATACTCAGATTTGGTGACAATTACAAATAACTTTGAGAGGGTTCTCGGGAAGGGAGGATTTGGAGCAGTCTACCATGGTTACTTGGACAATACTCAAGTAGCTGTTAAGATGCTCTCGGCATCATCAGCTCAAGGATACAAGGAGTTTCAAGCTGAGGTACACAAATTTTTTTGCTATTAAACTATTTTACATATATACTAAGATATGGACTTTTCTGTACAGGTTGAACTTTTACTCGAAGTTCATCATAAAAATTTAACAAGTCTTGTTGAGTATTGTGACGAGGGCAAAAATATTGGACTGATCTATGAGTTCATGGCTAACGGAAACTTAGAAGCACATCTCTCAGGTTTGATAAAATTATTTTCACTTACTACTATATTTCTTTTCATACATATGTCTTGATAACTTATTCAATTTAATTTGTTACGGTTCCTTATACTATCTATTCATCAAATTATGTTGTTTGATGGATATGAAGAAAAAAAATGAAAATGTCTTGAAATGGGAAGGGAGACTACGAATAGCAACAGAGGCAGCACACGGTAAGGAACTACCTGATTATCAATTTTCTTTTCGGTTTCTTTCAGTCTAGACTTCCAAGTGATTTCAAACTTGTATGCATTGAACGTAGGACTCGAGTATTTGCATAGCGATTGTAGGCAACCCACTGTACACAGAGATGTGAAGTCTACCAACATCTTATTGAATGAAAAATTTCAGGCGAAATTATCTGATTTTGGCCTTTCCAGAATCTTCCTAGTTGAAAGTGGAACTCATGTGTCAATAACTAATATTGCTGGAACCCCTGGATATCTTGACCCTGAGTGAGTAGATAAATTATTATAATCTTAAACTGCACAACCATAAATGAAAGAAAGTTAGCTTCAAGATATATTGGAAATTAAGATCAGACTGGATCATATCTTAAATTTGGTCCTTCAGATACTACATATCAAATAGGTTAACAGAAAAAAGTGATGTGTACAGCTTTGGAGTGGTTCTCTTAGAGATAATTACAAGCAAACCGGTCATTGAAAAATCCTTTGAGAGGACACATATTAGTCAATCGGTGAATCTCATGCTTACAAAGGGGGACATTAAAAACATTGTTGATCCAAGATTACATGGAGATTTTGACATCAACTCTGTCTGGAAAGCTGTAGAAATAGCAATGGCTTGTGTTTCTCGGGATTCCACCAAAAGGCCAACCATGCATCAGGTAGTAATGGAATTAAATGAATCTTTAGCAATTGAGATAGCTCGTGCAAAGGCAGGCAGTAACAATAAATCAAAGGACCATAATGCAGTGATTGAATGAAATAGAGACAACAACAGGAACAAAATAATAATAGTTAAACAAAACAAACAGTAAACAAAGAAAAATAATACGCGCGATTTACCCTGGTTCACCCAATGTGGGCTACGTCCAGCTGAGTCAATATTATTGCAATATGCCTCACCTCTCTCGTTTACAATGAATTAATTGCTCTCACACTCATAATAAGAGAAAAGTATGTTTATATACTAGGTTTAAGAGATTAAACCTAGTTTTACAAGGATTCTTATTCCTAAGCCCAACCCAAAAAGGAATTAATAACTTAAAAGAAATCCTACAGCGGTTATACATAGAAAAGCCCAAAACCGCCTACGGGCTTGGGGGCGCTACCCCCGCGACCCCCGCTCGCTGACCGGGCAGCGAGACCCCCGAATTCATCTCCGTTACCCATTAATGCTGAAGTAGTCGACAACTCCAACAGTGATCACTCTGAACCTGAATATTGAATTATCTCCAGTTGCAAGGTAGTGCTTTCTCAATACATGTTCTGCACTCATTTCAATGTTCTAATGTTTACATGTGCAGGGTTTTAGATCTTCTTCCAGTTCGGTTATTGTATACTTCAAGGAAGAAATAAAATTGAAAGAAACTGTAGTCCTATTTTGCTTGATGTCTTAAACCACGTTTATTTTCTGTGATATCTAGTTTATATGGGCGTCAGTTGATCTTTTCTACTCATTAAATGAATTTACAGTCAACGAGATCCTTTCTTGGTCATGAGTTTCAGTTTCATACAATCAAAGTGAACTGAAGCTCCACTATCCAACTTGAAACAACTGAAGTTGTAACTAATAACTGTTGAGTAAAATTTAGAGTACACAACTCTAAACTTACTAATGTTGGACCCAAAAAAGTAAACAAATTACTTGTATTATACCTACAATAAAAGATACTACGACACTTTTCAAAAACCACTCACAATTTGAAGAGAAATACAAACACTCAAAAGAAAACTCACAACTCACACTCAAGACACCATACTCAAACTAAGAATACAAATACTAAATTTTTGAAGGATACCTAACCCAAATGCAAGGGAGGGTATTTATAGTCCTCACCATGCAATCTGCACCACATAAATATAAAATTAAGAAATAATTATAACCACACAGTATTACCACATTCGACACACTTCTCCTAAAAAATCTATTTTCTATATCATTTTACAATTTTCTCTAAAAATATCTTTCTTCCACATTTGTTGAGAAGCTTATATTGTTTTGGAATAAGATAAAATGGATTGGGCTTTTATTTTACTTGGCTGAAATCAAAATATTGGTTGGGTTCTGTAATGAGCTGGGGTTGATCTTCAACAATAACTATGAAACAGAACAGAGTACTCTGTGCTTAATGCCTGATAAAATACAAAACAAAGCAGAACAGACTACTCTGTGGTTACCGTTAAAAATCAACTCTGCCTCTCTCCAGTGGTATGGCGGTGGGCAATGTCCAGAATCATTCCTTGCTCACCACGCTCTTCATTCTTGAAGGCAAAGAAAATCTTATTGACATGGAGCAAAGACATTCAGTGCAAGTGGGAGATCTCTCTGGACAGATTTAGAGCTGGTTCTTCAACGACTTAAGCAACTATAAATAGCCCCACACGGTTCTGCTTTGAGCATGTGGAAAACACCAGTGTCTAAGTGCTTGTGTATGGCGAGTGCAAGTGAGAGTCTAGTGTGTCTTCAAGTGTCTTGTTTATTGTGTCTAACAATACAAAGTTATTATTAATTACACGTGCTCAAAACCAACAGTTACATCGATAAATATTAATATACCTTACTTGGCTTCATTATAAACATTCAAATGTTTATGTAATTGAAACAGAACTTGTAGCTAGATTAATGTTGCTATCACCAAATAATTGCATGTTTATTCATGTTCCACCAATTTTTTGGGTTGTTCCAATGACTTTAATCATCAACAGCTTGTTGGAAGTCACATTATATTTATACTGGTGTCCCTTTCACCTTCATGAGTCATTTACCGGGGTTTATCTTCGTACAAATTGTCCACAACACTTTGTGGAACTGAACGAGTCTGTAGCAATTGAGGTAGCTGGAAAGAAAATGAACAAGGATGCTGAATCGGAAGATTCTATGTTATCGATGAACTTGAATCTCAGATACTGAATTTTCTCCCATACTAAGGTAGTACTTGCACAAAAGATATCCCACTTCACTATGCATAATTCGCCTGTACTTGGAAGAAAAATAAAGAGATGAAGCAGCCATGTTCTATTTTGTGTAACATACATTAGCATAAGAAAACAGAGCTGCTGCAGTTTTTGAAGCAGAACAGAGAAGAATGCTGCATTATTTGGTTTTTGACATTTAACTGTTTCACTGATCACCCACACTAGTTAGCCTGGAAATGCATACAAGGGTCATTTTCGTAACTGCAAATAACATACATATTCACAATCAGGGATGCATGTATGAATACGTACGTACTTAAATTCTGTACACATGAAATAAATAACTATCGATATGTGTTTTTCTTCTCTAAGTATCTATGTATGCAGTATGCTACCTAAAGGAAGTAAAAAAGTTCTAAACTCTAATGAAGCAAGAAAATGTTTCCTAACAATGGTATCACTAGTTTTTTATGACATGACATGACTCGAAGTGCAGAAAAGTTCTTCAAAGAATGAAGTAATTAGCCCACTCATCAAAATATAAAGCTCTAAAATCTGTTCGTGGCTAACCTGCGACAAGTAGGTATGATGGTCTTAAAGAATAATAAAAAATGGTGTAATATAAAATTGACTTGGTATGAAGATGCTTACGTTACGTTGAAATGCCCCAAAGTATGCTATTTACTCTAAACAAATTGCAGTGAGATTTAATATATGGCTTATAAGTTCAACTCAAATTACCATGCATATTTTTTGTTTTCAACATTCCACCAACTATTTTTTGTTTTCTCCATTGACTAGATAATCAAAAGTTTGTAGTGAGCAAAATTATACTGGCGTCCCTTTCACCTTAACGAGTCATTTTCTAGGGTTTTTCCTGAGAATAATTCATTTATAACACTTTGTTGGAACTTTCAACTTCTATATATTGTACTATAAGGTTGGATGTAATGTAATTACCTTGTAAATTATATATCTTTGCAAGTGGGTGTGAATTGAATTAGTGAACAAAAGGACTAATTAACTGGACGTTAAGAAACTATTCACATCAGATTTTCCTCATACTGGTATGAATTTCATACAAGAATTTTCTCACAATATGCCTAGTGGTGTCTCTGGGGCCTTCAATCAGTCCCCTGATACAGAATTTATATTCTTCAAAAATAACACCTATTTTGTTACTTCAATATTGTGTTATCACTTATGAATAAAAGTTTAAAAAAAATAAATAAATAAACATAAACTTGACTGGAGCTGATTACTTTGATTGTATTTAATGCCAATTGTTTTTTTATCAAATTGTTACGGACAAATTTCTTTCTGTTTCACATGATAGTGTTTGAAACTGAACAAGAGTTGTTGAAGATCAAGTCATGTTCACATGATAGTGTGAGAGGATTGATTTATATTTGTGAGCAACATAAAATAAACTCTTCCCTAACGTATGGGTTAAGGGAACCGTTGATTGAATAGTTTCTAACCAATGAAGCCGACCTCTAGTCAAAGTGATCAATGAAAAACCATGGACTGAAAAGTCTTCTGCAGGACTTTCCCGTGCAACACAAGGTAGCAATTGACTTTTCTTTCATATGAGCTATGCTCTTTTTCCACATTTATGTTACACGAAAAATTGACTGTCTTGTAAAATACACTATTCATTTATGGTTGTTCACACGACATGGCACTATAAATTTTACGATTATATCTGCTTTCTTCGACTTGAAGAAATCAAAGTAGCAAGGGCGATGTTCAACACAACAGTTCCTTCAACAGTTCAGAAGTAGACATGACTGAGACCGATGAATAAAAAAAGTAGCACAAGCCTTTTTTCTTTGTCTATGTTTAAAAGTAATGAACTTAATTGCATTGAATTTGAAACCTACGATTGGCGTATCTCCATGATCATCGACTAGGAAGCAGAAAGTACAAAATGGAACAAAACTGAAAACTTTCTGCAGAGAAACAGTTAAGACAACAGAGAAATAAACGAAAAATTCTTTATGAGTATGATCAATCATGTATTCAGAGTATGAAATTACAATTCGATGAACAAAAAGGATATGAAAATTACAATGAAAAACAAAATGTTCCACAAAAGAATCTTAGTACAAAGTTCATCTCCATCTTCAAATTCAGATTCAACACCTTGCACTGTCCCTGAATCCTGAATTCCATGGCAATGTGTGTGTTGCCAAACCTCACCAATGCCACTTGCCACCATTCTTTCTCCATCATCATCTTCAGCCCCACATTCCATGGCAGCGGGTGTGTTGCCAAACCTCGCTAATGCCACTTGCCACCATTCTTTCTCCATCATCATCTTCAGCCCCACATTCATCCTCTTTTTCATCCTCAAAAAGCCATTCCTTTAAAAAGTGTACTACTTGGCTTGCCCAACCCATCAGTTTCGATCTCAGGTCTTTCAAAAGAACAACTTCACTAACATCAGCTCCAGGGTCAAAGGCTTCAAGTTCTTCATCGTTACCAAGCTTATGAATTCTGTATTCAAATACGTTAGTGCTTGGTGTTGGGGGGATTTAATTGAATACTAGTAAATCCTAAATCCCTAAAAGAGAAAAATAATGCGAACAAAGGACAAACAAACACAAGATTTATAGTAGTTTACTCTCCGTATGAGAGCTACGTCTACTCACTAAACCCTATTTGGTAGCCCTCATTCTCTAATTGTGGTTTTACCTTCTATTCAATTTGTGATATCCAACTCTAGGACTTAATCCTTTTTTATAGGTAATACATGGGGCACTATTTCTAATAGGACTCAAATCTCATATTCTAATAGGAATTATATTCTAATTCCTCATACAATTATAATCTTATTCCCAAT